CTGATGATATGGGATGGAAGTGTACTGATGAGAAACTTGTTGCAATTTTGATGTCTCTAGATCCTATTCCAGATGTACGTCTGGAAATGATTAGAAGACAATGTAACACTGGATGTAAAAATCTTCACTGAAAATCTCATAAAGCTGAATTGCTATGTACAGGACTATGTGGTTGCACCGGTTTTAGTGTTGTAGAAAATGAGCTGTGATCAATCACTCTTAACACTATGTTCACATTACATCATGTAATTCACATTCCAAGAACATGTGTGTGTTGTTAAATGTTAATAGTTTCTTCTTTTCTTGTACATATAAGATGATTGATATTCTAATATCACAACTGTGGAATCTTACTGCATAGAATTCTCATCTTTCATTTCTCACTGATGTCAATATTGCTAAAGTCTCTTTATGCCACTTCTGTAACCTGAAAGCTATGTCAGCAGGAACATAGCCACTGGTATGGCAGGACTGGTAAATGAGTAGAAATCAGACAAACAAGTAATCCACTGGTCGTTGTGCTTCAAATGGCCATCAGCATGAGAAACCCCAATATATCAGTCCTTAAAACCAAAGAATGATCAAAAATAAATGGTCTGACACCACTAGAGAGAACATGGAAACATGTAGTGTTCAAGAGGAAGATGCCATGGATCAGAACAAATGGTAGCATAAAGCAGACCCCACAATCAAATTGGACAAACATGATGGTGATGATGAAGAATCTTCATATAAACATGTATAACCAGCACAGAAATAGGTGTATATAATAAAAATACATTACGCATGTGATGCTCTCTCATTTATATCATACATATCTATATACAAATAACAAAAAGTAACAGTATCTGAACACTAACTCAATATTGGGCAATAGACAATTTGGTTTGAAGAATTCCTTGATACAGAGAAGTGAAGATTAAAAATTTATTTAAATGTTTCCTTTTGAAATTAAGAAATTAAAATCATATTAAAATTGGAATTATGAAGTACATTTTGATGCCAAAATAATTAACATACATTGAAAATAATGTTGTTTAATTAAGTATTGAATGTAAGTTAAAAAGTTATTACATGCATTTTTCAATCAAAATGACCAAAGCAATATACACAGGGGTAATCATTAATTTCCAAAACTTGTGAAAGTTGTAGTGTGATTAATAAATTTATAACTTATCTTACCAAAGTAATAACATGGTTGTTTTATACATTACACTGGTAACATGGTTATTGTACTAAAGCATGATTAAAAAAAGTATCTTCACACAGTAGAAGATAAGTCTTTCATGCCATCAAAGCAGTGCTGTGTTGCTAGTAGTTAAAACTACATGTAACAGAATTTTAGGATGTATGTATAGACATAATGATTATAAGTTAAAGAAGGTAATTACCTCCATACACTAATTATTAGTTAGGCCTCACTTGTATTACTGTAAACAGAGTTTGTCTCCACATACAGAAAAAATACTTATCAGAAAGGGTTCAGAGGAGGACTTCCAAGATGATTCTGGCAATGGAAGGGATATTTTATAGGGATAGGTTAAGATCTCTTAACTTATTTTCTCTTGAGAAAAGAAGAATAAGAGGTGATCATATTAAAATTTATGAAATTCTCTGGGAGATTAATAGGATAAAGGCCTTCAATTTCTTTGTGCTTAATTCCAAAAATAATAAAATGAGAGGACAGAAGCTTAAAATTAGAAAAAGATGGCTAAGATCAAGTTAAGCCAGCTTTATTTTCCTAACAAGGCAATTGACTTATGAAATTAGTTTGTCTAAAGTTAGATGATTACCAATGAGCATCATTTACATCAATCACTGTCACATAAAATAATCAATTACGTTTAAATCAATTAACCCATTCCCAATTATTATTTTTGATTAATCCAACTATCCAAGTTATTAAAATTTTGCCATCATGTTTGCTTGTCATTAAGTGCAAAGCTACATAATGGGCTATCTGTACTATGACCATCCTGGTAAAAAAACTCATTTTTTAGCATTATAAATTGTTGTTTTTGTATTGTATTTCAGTCAATTCATATGAGAATAGACAATATTTTGTTTTCTTTGCAATCTTGTGAGAATAATCAATTAGCCTAATGCAATTGATTAATTAGCCCAACAACTGATCAATTAGCAAATTCCACTAATTACTCAGCTCTGCTGTAGTAGTGGAGACCAGTACTTTATAGGAGTTTAAGAAGGAAATTGATGATTTCCTAAAAAAAACAAATGATTGGTTTAAATTCTTAAATTTTCCCAAGTTTTAATACGCAAGGACAGCCTTCAAGGTTCAAATGGTCCCTTCTTGTCCATAGGTATGTTATTACAAGTCACAATGATCCTCTTCAAGTTTACACAAAACATCACCACTACAATTAACTCAGCATTACATAAATTATTCACCAAACAAAAAACACAAATACTTAATTTGCTATCAAACAAACAAAATAAAGCACAACAAATTGACCTTCTGTTAAACAACAAAAAAATGAGTTAATAGACTGAACCAGTTGAGCAAATAATCTCCGGTTACATCAGGTGGAAATTCCAAAGAAAGGTATTATAGGTTTGATTTTAGGAAAGTTGACTGTAATGAGCTAACAGGAATTAATGTTTTACTAGAATTACATAAAACTTGTTACTTTATGGCTATTTCTCTTGACTCTCTACCTTATAACATTTCCGAGTCTATATACATTTAATTCTTGATTATACTCTCTGTATGTGGTTTCTCTAGGCTAATATATTGTCATTTGTGATTATTTTTTACTTGTGTCTTCTTTGACTAAATTTGTTTTATCCTTTTCAGCTTTTATTTTGGTTCGACCATGATGTACCTACCTCACACTTTGAAACTGTGATACATTTAGAACACTTTAAATAAACTGCTTAACAATTTAATTAACTGTTCTACATTTTTATGGGATGCATCCTCTAACAGTATAGCAAAATACTTCTATACTAATACATCAACCTTATAATTACCAATAGGAGTGCACACAGACCCCATCAGCTTTTTAAATGCTTTTTTTTTTATGCAACAAGCTGCTTGTGAATATGTTGTTTACAGGATAAATAACATCATATTATTTGCACAAAAAAAATTTGAAGAAAAAAACGCTATCTATACAACAATTAATCCCACTAACTTTTGCTCAAGTCCCCTATGTATTTTACACAGAAAATGGGCAATTTCTCTCAATTTCTTGGTTGGTTCTTTTTACCTTATGTAACAGGCAAAAGCATTAAATTAGTCCATATGATGAACATTGTAGACACAGCAGTAGTGATTTGCATGAAAGCATTCAGTGATTTAAGGGTTGAATAGATATCATATGTTTGAAAGATATGAAATAAGAAAATTTATTAATTGTAGTACCGGAAATAAGTTACATTCAAGGTGATATCTCAACATGGTGAAAGAAATCTTATCTACTTAACATTACTATGATTTGACAATATTGTAGGAGGAAGTAAATTTCCAATAATTTGTTAGAACAATAATGTAAGTACATCAAAGTTTAATTGTAAGACAAACTTCAGTCAAAACACCTTCATATTTTGGACAATCTCCAAGGTGTCATAAACATCTAGCCAAGCAACTGAAAACAATACTGGAACATTCTAAATGTGTGAAACTTCTAAGGTTACACACAAATTTACAATTATGAGCAGAAATGCTACCCTACAGGCAGCTGTTTGTGCTAGTAATTACTAATCGTAGTATTTACCTCATTGAAAAAATTTAGAAAAAAAAGTGAACATTTCCTAAAAAAGGATTTTTTCTGGGGAGTACTGCATATGAAAAACTGTTTATATTGTGCTCTTTAATCATACACAACTCATTGGACCAAAATGATTCAATGTACAGAGCTAAAATTTGTTATCAATTTTATTGATATCATCTGTAATGTTTTCACATATTAAAAGTGCTACCATGTATTGAAAAAATAAGTTTTTTTTAAGAATTCCAGTTTCTCAGTACTACATTTAAAAATTACATCAATAAAGATATAATCAAACCCTCACATACAGTCATAGTGAAAAGTCGTGTTCTTATTGAGGGTACTTTTATTTAAAATTGTGTTCTATTATAAAGAAAAGGTTGTTGCACATACCACAGTTATTTTTCTAATTGTCTGAATCTTGAATACCCAAAGTGTAAATTTTTTCATGGATTTTTGTTTGTGGTGCCATTCAATACATGGCACAGGAGTTTTGGCAACATACATAGATACTGACACATATATGCTACGTCCATTATAATAAGATTGGTATAAGTTATAACACAAGCAGATGCATATTATTTGGAAAGAGCTGTACATTAACAATTACTTGTCCATCTAAAATGTGCTCTCTTACCTGTTGTTGTTTTTTTAAATTAACTTCAAAATCTTAATATTCGATTTCTCAAAAAAAACCATAAATGTTACTATGCAGCCGCTAGTTTTCCTTTTATTTTTAGTTTGGTTAATTTATCTTTGTAAATTATAATACACCTACAACATAGCTTGATGTAATTGCACACTTTAATTCTAAGAACCCTGGCTTAAACCAAAAACTAGTTCACGAATAACTGAAATTGAATAGTCCTAATTAAACCGCGTAAGTATACTAAAATCGGTTTTCTCATTAATTATCGAAAAAAATATTATTTATTTTAAAAACAATAAAAAATGTGCCTTCTTAGTTGAACTGAAACTGAAAGTAAAAAACATTGAAGTTAAAGCTGTGTTACAATTAATAGTCATTTTATAGTTTGAATACGATAATTTACTTTTATAACAATCTCGTTACTTTTATAAATAAATAAATGATGTGTAGGCAAAAGTTACTTACAGATTACGGCTATAAATTCTTTAATTTCAACTCATCTTGAGATAATCCTTGCGAGAATACCTTAATTGTGAGACCGCAAAGTTGTTACTACGCATGTCTAGCAAGATTCTATTTCCTGTTATAGTTCACTAACGGAAGTAAAATAAATATGACGTGTTTCTCTGCAGACATATGACCGGTATGTATGGAGAAAAGTAGGCCTGGTTGGTGTTCGTAGTTTAATGAATTACCTGTAATAATAATAAATATTAGTTTTTCGACTTGTGAACACTAATATAAGTGTTTTGCAGTGTCCCATTTGTACAATAATATACGAGAAATGACAAAAACTACACTTTTTATTTACAAGTTTTTAGTAATACTTTCACTCTTAGAGTTAGTAATATTTTCGACTCTTTGTTATTGTGGAGGTAAGTTGTTTTTCCGTATAACTATAATTTAAAATAAAGTAGAACATTAAAAATTTAAAGTTATCCCGCCTCAGCACGATCGAAAGTCTTTTGACTGAAGTTTGATTTTCGCCCAGCCACACAACTAAATTAACTAGCCTAATTTTGTACTTTCGTGTTAATTAACAATAACATTTGAACGTTTTAACTTATAGTTTTTGTGTTAGTATTATTGTTAAACATTACAATTTAATTTGTACTTTATGGTATCTTAACATTAGCAAAAATGCTTAAGTAGCACTGTCTGGTGTCAACGGTAACATCAGTTAAAAACAAAGTTTTAACTTTTAATTTTGTTATGAAACAGCCCATCAAGTGGAGTAGCATTATATATATATATTTATATATATTATATATGTTTTGTACATTAATTTAAAATTTTTAAAAACACAGTAATTTCCATTCCCTTAGTTCATATTTTTTGTACCAATACTTGATTGTTGAAGTATTTTACTTGATGAGTTATTGGTGCAGTATTGAGTTGTAAAGAAAGAATTCAGAGTACTAATATATTTACATCATTTTCAAGTATTTTTTTTATTAGTTTTGCAATTTTACTTTTTAGAAACTGTTCTATCCTGATAATAGTGTAATTAACATGTTAACATAATAATAACTGTGTTACCAAAACTAGTCAGCTAAAATAACTATTAGAGATTTTATCTTTCATTGTGCTAAAAACATTTTTTTTTTTACTCTTAATGTATTTAATGTTTTGGTGGGGAGTGACCATAATGGGCCAGACAGTCTTCTGTTATATTGATTTTTTTCTATAAACAGCATTTAATGTTTTTTTATTCACTTAGTATTTTGTACTCACTGTTTTTGGATGGCATTTGGCTTCTGTACCCAAAACCTTGTTTAAATCATGGTTTCCAGTTTTTAAAGATTTTTTTCCATTTAGTCTGATTTTACAGTTGGAGTAAATAGGGAGAAAACAATCAGATTATGTTACCCAGGGCACAGGTGGAGGATATAACTTGTCAGAGCAGGAGGTATAATAAAACCTATTTAAAAGGGGCTATCAGAGATGCAGTTTTTGTGGTGCATGTATGGGCTAATGATGTAGGGAAAGGTAAGTCAGAGGAGCTAATAAGTACAAGGAGTTGATAAAGGCATTTAAATAAAATGGCCATAATTCAATTTTGTCAGGGATACTGCCCAGAATGAACTGTGGAAATGAAGTTCTGAGTAGTTCGCTGGGGTTAAATGCTAGGCTTAGGTTAATATGTAAGGATGAGCAGATTGGCTGGTTGGACTTGTGGGATCAGTTCAGTAAAAGAAAGGAGCTTTTTTGGAATGGATGGTTTATATTTAAATAGGGTAGAGGCTGGCTTATTTGTTAAGGCTATTAACTCAGCTGTAAGAGAAGTTTTAAACTAGGACTAGACAGTGGTGAGGGCTAGGAAAAACTAAATGCAAAAAGAATAAGAGGCAGAGAAAAGTTTAGCATCGGAAATGAGTATAGAATTAGATATTAGGGTAGGCTTAATGATTACTATTGTAATATTATAAGTATAGAAATAAAATAGATGACTTTAGAGCACTGATAGGAATGGAGGATTTTGATATAATGGAAATAACTGAAACATCGTTAAACAGATGATTGTGATGACAGAAATTTCTCTGAAATACAGGATTACAGGCTATTTAATAGGGATAGTGTATTAAAAAGGGGGAGGAGTAGCTTTATATGTAAAATGTGACTTACATCCTGTTGAAGTTGAGAATATCAAAGATAATAGCAAGGAAATTGAATTCATGTGGGTTTCTATTATTGGATATAAAGGGAAAAGGCTTTTAGTGGGAATTTGTTACAGACCACCAAATGATAGTGTTGAAGTTAGTGAGAAACTTTACAATGAGATTAAGATTTCAGCTGTTAATGAAGTCATAATTACGGGTGATTTTAATTTCAGGCATATAGATTGGGAAATGAGGAAGAAAGGTTTTTGAAAACTGTTCACGATGGCTTTCTTCACCAATTAGTCAAGGAAACTACTAGAAACAATGCTATTTTAGATTTATTGTTAACTTCAAATATAGCAATAATCAAGAGGGTAGAAATTGGGGAACATATGGGTGCAAGTGATCATTGCTCTATTAGGTTCAATGTTTTGCTGCATATGAAGATAAGGAGTAATGATGTGACAATAATTATCTGTTGTGAATTGGGCAGCTGAATTATTTGGAGACACTGATGAGATGTGTAAAATGTTTAAATATTCAAGATAAATGTATTCCTTATAGAAAGAAAAGGGTAGCTGCAAGTAAAAATCTAGCTTGATTCACAAAGAGTTTAAGAAAGAGAATTAAAGAAAAGCATCAGAAATATAAATTGACTGGTATGACAGGAGATTTAGAAGATTATGGAAGATCAAGAAAGTTGGTAAAACAGGAAATTAGAAAATCAAAAGTATGTATGAGAAAAGGTTGGCTGAAAATATAAAAATTAACAAAAAGGATTTCTTTAAATATAGAAAGGGTAAACAAAATTTTAGGATGGGGGTAGGACTCTTGAGGAATGATAAAGGAAGGCTTGTATCTGCTGATTACAAGATGGCTGGGTTATTAAATTTTGCTTTTTGTTTTTAGTAATGAAGATTTAAGCAGTATTCCATATCTTGAACAGTTGATAAATGGAAATAAGATGACTGCATTAATTCTGAGCTGGTTAAGAAACAAATTGGAAAGTTTAAAGAATGATAAGGCTCCTGAGGCAGATAATGGGCAGGTACCAAAGGATTGGAAGTTAGCTAATGTAACTCCTCTTTTCAAAGGAAGTGATAAAAATTGTCCCAGTAATTATAGACCCATTAGTCTTGCATCAATTGTGGGAAAGTTTTGAAAAGTCTGTTAAAAGATGCTTTGCAAAGTCATTTAAGAAAGTTTAGAATTTTATTTAACAGTTAACATGGTTTCACTAAGGAAAAATCATGCCTTGCAAATATTTTGACAATCTTTGAAAATGCTATTGTGTATGTAGATGAGGATAAGGGTGTAGATTTGGTGTATTTGGATTTTCAGAAAGCATTTAACAAGGTGCCATATTAAAGGCTTCTAAAAAAAATGATCTCTATAGATGTGGGGGAAAAGTTAGCAAGTTGGATAGAAGAGTGGCTGGATGGAAGAAAGCATGGAGTTCAGTCAAACTTTCACAAATATATGAGAGAACCTCATTTGTGACATTATAGTGAGTTATTGAAGTGAATTTGGGTGTTGAATGGAGAATCAGGAATTTCCTTTGGCTTCTCTCATATATGATCCATTATGCCATGCCTTAGGACATCTGGAGTTTTTTATATACATTTTTCATTAACAATTTTATTTCTGATCACTGAGGATTTTCCCTGGGTGCTCCAGATTTGGTAATTATTATTTCCCAAGTGCCTTGAAAAAACTGATATGCCTCAAGGCATACCATATGAGTATACAGATACCTGTATAACCCTAGGGCTTGGCATAATGGGTCACACTCTTGTTCCAGCAGCTTAATATCATCAGTGAATTTGGTGTTGCAATGAGTGTCAGGGATAGTTTTTGGCTTCTCTCTTCTATATTTATCGAGAGTTGGATAAGTAGCTGGTATCAATTTCTGAATTCCATGGAGATTTTGATTTTAGGCACTATTTCAAGTTGTTTCGATGATGCTGATTTTGAAGAATTAAAGTACAAGTTAAATATTGTTTTTATTTGGATTGGAATAGTTTGGTATGTTATACATGTGTAGTCACCTCAGTCATTTTACAGTGCAGGTATATAACTTGTTAATCAAAGCCTTTAGTGCTTTGCATCACTCAGATGTGTGACACTCTGGTAGATTGATATTCTTTATAGTCCTTTTGTAAATTTGCAAGTTTTGTTTTTCTTCGTTTGAATTGAATATGTCAATTTTTACATTATTTTCTAAGTTTTCTATCCTAGTCTGTGGTATTTCTCCACATTTTAGAGAACTTGTAGAAATTTTACACTTTTTTTTATTGATATTTTCCATATTATCTCTGGATGTAGAACATATAAATCATTGGAAGTGAAAATCAAAATTCACGAGGTATATGAAAAATAATGTTTTTCGTAATATCTTTTATGTATTTTACAAGTCATTTATGTCTTAAACTATTACAGTGATAAAAATTAGGCTTCAAGATATGTGTATCACCCCTGATTTGGAAAATGTTCCTGTAACTTTGAATTATTATACTGGGATCTTACTGCTGCAGGGGGGTTATTTCCCAGTTAACAATAGTCTATGTGATTCAAATATTACTTCTTTTTTTCCAGATGTACACTATCCATATGTAACATGTGGTTCCATATTAAAGATTCAAAATATAAGCTATAAAGTTCGACTACACTCACATGACATTAAATATGGATCAGGAAGTGGCCAACAGGTATGTCTTATTGAACCATTAATAAATGAAAATACTAATTCAGAAGTTTCCAACAGGTAGCTCTTACAAACTAATAAACATGTATATGTATGTATTTTAAAGTGGTCAACAGGTTTAATTGTTTACTATACAATCCCTGAGGTTTCAATGACTGGCATCCCCCCCCCCCCCCACTGTAGAGCTGCGCGTACTTACAAGTAAGTAAGAAGAGACGTTACCGTTTTACTGTAGTAGTTACCTAAGTAGGT